TGTCAAAAATGGCGCCCCAGATAGGCATCTACAAAAGACAGCTAGGGAACTCGAGCCGTTTCGAAAGTCACTTCCGGTTTATAAGAAACTGGTTGATCTTAAAACTGCTTTGCGTACCAATGATGTCCTTCTCTTGACTGCAGAGACTGGTTCCGGAAAAAGTACTCAACTGCCTCAATTATGCATGATGAGCCTTGTGCAAGAAACAGAAGGTTAAAAATCAAGAACGCGGCGGGTCAAGAAGAGGACATTTCAGTTGGCGGAGTCATTGCTATCACTCAACCTCGTCGTGTTGCTGCTATTACTTTAGCCCGTCGTGTTGCTGCTGAGATGGGATCTGCCCTTGGATACCAACGTACAAATACTCCTGGAAAGGTCGGTTATTCCGTTCGTTTCGATACCAATACACCCATTGGAATGAAGATCAAATTTGTTACCGAAGGTACCTTGCTTCAAGAAATGGTCCATGATCCAAATCTCAGAAAATATAGTGCTATCATTATTGATTGAAATTCACGAGAGAGGGGTTGATGTTGATCTCATTGCTGGATTTCTCCGACAGATAGTTCATGGAGATAAGCAAGGTCGTGGTGGTATTCCATTGAAAGTCGTCATCATGAGTGCAACTCTTGATTTAGGCGGATACGAAGCTTTCTTCGCAAATCCTGACTCAAATCCTAGTTATCAACCAGGTAACAACTATGGTTCAATATTTGCACCACATCTTGTGAACAATGAGAAGGTCATTGAGGCTGCCAAACCAATGCTAGCTGTAAAGTCTGGAAAGGCCGAGGATGTGGAATTAAAAGCAACAGAAAGCTCCGAAAAAGTAGACACTGGCGTTGCCATTGAGGAAGTCAAAGGTAGGAAATTCAAAGTTGACCTATACTATGACAAACCAGCCGATCCCAGTAATTACCAGGAGACTATGTTCAAGAGGATTGCGAGTATACATGTTACGGAACCTCTTCCTGGAGATATACTGGTCTTTCTCGTTGGTCAAGAAGAGATCGAATATATGCAAACAAGACTTGAGGCTCTCGGCGAGTCTCTAAGCAAAGAAGTGCCAAGAATCAAGGTTATACCGCTGTATGGTGCTCTTCCACCAGATGCTCAACAGTTAGCTTTCGATCCAGTCAAGGAGCCCAGAACGAGGAAAATCGTCCTGGCTACTAACATTGCGGAAACGTCAGTAACAGTTCCCGGTGTGCGATATGTAGTTGACAGCGGTAAAGCCAAGGTTAAGAAGTACCGCACAAAGTTGGGTATGGAGTCTTTGCTTGTCGTGCCGATTTCTAAACAGTCCGCCCTCCAAAGAATGGGTCGTGCTGGTCGTGAAGCACCTGGTAAATGTTGGAGAGCATATGGTAAAGACGAATATGAATCTTGGCTTCAAGATGAAATTCCTGAAATCCTTCGTTGCGATGTGCTCGAAGCAGTTCTTAAGATGAAAGCTCGTGGAGTGCAAGATGTTATCAACTTTCCTCTCATGGATGCACCTGATGTAGAAGCTATGAAGCATGCCATCTTTCAACTCAACGCCATGGGAGCTCTCGATGACGAAGGTAATTTAACCACAGATGGTAAAAAGATGGCCAGTTTCCCTCTTCCTGCCGCCTATGGCCGTGCTCTCATCGCCTCCTCATCTCCAGAGTTCAACTGCGTTCTCGACGCCATCGACGTCATCTCCCTCCTAACTGCCGACTCCGAAGTTTTCATCCAACCCAAATCTCAAGAACAAGAAGAAGAAGTCGACGCCAATCGCGCCGATATCATCCGTCGCGAAGGCGATCTTCTCACCTATCTAACAACCATGCAACGCTACGCCTCCGAAAACACAAACCGATTCCAATGGTGCAAATCTCGCAACATCAGCGCCCGAGCAATGAAATCCGCAATGCTGAATCGCAAACAACTGCGTCAATTAAGCGTCACTCACGGTCTCATTGATGCCCTTCCCCCTCCTGATCCCCAGCCCTTTGAACCCTCTACCCCCGAAAGAGCAGAATGTTTGATTAAAGCATTTCTGAGATCGTTTGGGGATAGAACGGCTACGTTAGCCCCAGATGGGAGCTATGTGACGACAAAGGGGAAAAATGCCGTCGTTATTCATCCGCAGAGTGTGCTTTGGGGAAGGAAAATCGAGGCGATTATGTTCTTGGAAAATGTGTTTAGTACGAGGAATTGGGCGAAGAAGGTTAGTGCTGTGCAGGCGGATTGGGTGTTGGAGGCTTTAGGGGGGTGGATGTAAGGGGAGTGGGCAGAGGCTTATGGGTCTTGGGAAAGAAGTATTGGACGCAGTGGAAGAGAGATGTGGATGGATGTAAAGATAGATACATAGATAGATACCCAAGTGATGTAAGATGTGGAATGTAGGAGAGATAGATATGGTTTATAGATTAACCATAGGATTTTAATACTGTAGGGTAATTGCCCAAATATCTCGCAATTACATTCAAGCATTGATACAAGATTCCACTGTGTTCTCTAGATGCAGGAAACTGACATTTTGTTGATTTTTCGACGTGAAATCGATTGCGGTGGGTATATATGTATGATATATCACTCAGCTAAACATAATCCTCGACGCGCACGATGCTATACATTGCATATCGCATTTCCATCTCCACACCCCCTACTTCTTCAAACGATACCGGCCCCCAACACACTCCAACACACCCTCCTCTACCTTTCCACCCAGCCACTCTAACAACTCTTCATTACTATACGGAAATCCCTCTGCAATCAACATCTTCAACATCATAGCAATCTGCGGGGCACCCATCTGACTCGAGCTATTTGTCAACATGCTCTGCACAAACTGCCAATACACCTTTGCATTTTCACCCGCGATACCCTTTTCTTCCTTTCCTCCTTCTCCCTCATCATCAGCATTATCCGCACCCACAGGGGCCGAAGCGAGGGCATCCGAACGCGCACGATCCGACGCATTGAGCGTTTCGAGCACGGAGTAAACTTGCGATTTGGGCGGAGATTCCTGGAGCACGAGTTTTGCGACCCAGAATTTGAGGGCGGAGAGGATGAGCGCGGGGTCCATGTCGAGTGCCGAGGTGAGTTCTTCGATGCTTTTTTGCGCGGGGACTTCTTCCTCGTCGGGATTGAGATGCGTGGTTTCGCTGTGGAAACTGGAGATTACCGTGGCTTGCCAGGTCGTGCATTCTTCGACCACAGTGCGGTCGGCTAGTTCGAGCTCAACGGTTGTGTGGCCGAGTGCGGGAAGCCAGGTGAGTTTTCGGGAAGGTTTCAGCGAGGAAAAGGCGGTGGAGTAGTCTGATTGGAGGTTGGAGATTTGAGGAGGGAGAGTAAAGGTGGATTCTTGGAGGGGAGGCCAGAAGAGACGGGAGAGGATTTTGGTATGGAGAGTTGGGTGAGTTGATGGGGGAGGCATGGCTTTCTTTTCTGCGATGCTAAGATTTTGGGTTTTGTGGATGGCTTGGTCAAGGCGAACGGAATCGAGAATATCTTTTAGCATTACTTCACAGCTTTGGAGTGGCGCTTCCCCGAAGCGGGATTTTAGCAGTTCGAGAACTTTGATCTGAGAAATTGTTAGAATTGTATGCATGAGAAAGCGAATAGAACAAACACATACCTCTTTTTCGAAAGTTCCATCGTTCTTCAAAAGGTTTTCACTGATGATATTTTGAAACTCTTTGATAAAAACATCTTGAGATCCGAAAACCCCAATTAATGTTCCAATGATATCAGCGTTTTTGGACCTCTTGTATCCTGGTCCTGCATCTACAGGATCAGGCACCCACTCCATGTCATGCCAATCTAATTCTTCATCGTCAATTTTCTGTCCCGACTGTTCTGAATCATTGTTAAGTAAATGGGCTAGCTCAATGAGTCTATCTCCACTAGATTCTATAGGATTTCCTTGCGCGTCTTCAGTTTCTGAAAGTAACCCTGCGATTATTATTCGGACCGTATCTTCTCGTGAGCATAGATATACCTGTAACGGATATGCTACACGATCCAAGAGCACTTTCGAGTGATCAAGCGAATGGAATGACCAAATCATTGAGATGTATGTCTGTAGAATTAATAATGTGGAAGCCCCTGGATGAAGTAGCCTCTCTTTCAGAGTAGCTGCAAAAGCTTCTGTCAAGTGTAATCGTCTCTGAGGTGTGGTAATTGTTGTTCGAAGGTCGTGCAATGCTCCATTGCTATTTGGCCAATTCACAACAATATCAAACAACTCATCCGTCCTAAGTGCTGCGAGACGGCCAATGCTCATTTCCTTCCACTTTTCCATATCGCTCCAAGCTACTTCAACATTGTCGATGACTTTAAAGACCAGGACAGCGAGTTTAGAATACCGATCTCCAATCCATCCGCAAAGATCCGTAACACAATTGGACGGTGATACGTGATGTGCCGTTCGTGGAAGTACGGAATTTCTTCTTTCGCCATCTTGGGGGGTCACACTTATTTCATTTGCAGACCACAGTCCTTTGCAACCTCGATTGACATATTCAGTCATAGATTGGTTCATGATTTCGGCAAAGATCACCTCGAACTTTTCTCCGGCCAGACCAACTTTGTGTAGGGACTCCACAAGGTTGAGCATTTCGTTACAAACTTTGTCTGTCCTCGCATCAATAGGTGCAATACCAGATCCCTTTCCGCCTTGCAATCCAAGGATAGAAGAAACATAATTTTCGAGAACAGTCCTTAATGCTGCAATGAATTGATCTGTGAGAGAATTCGTTATGATAGCATGTATATCCCGTCGAAATTTCTCCAAAACCACACGCGAGAGTCCCGGAGTAAAAAGCTCAACTTGTTTGAGGATGACTGACAAGCCATGCAAATACATACGATGTGCAAATTCTAATATCTTTACACTGCCAAAAACCAAAGGTTGAGGACCCTCTTCATCAGTGTAGAGTCGCAATACCGGCAAGATTTGATGGAGAAGATGTCTACGGACTTGTTGGGTATGCCAAACAAGGAGATCATCCGTGTGCAATGCAAATGGAAGGCGGTTAACGGGATCCAGAACGTCCTTCAAGGCGTCGTCAAAGGATGGATCAGATAGTATCGACAGAGGTCTCAGAGTCTCAATAGAACCAGGGTCTAATGGTACATCCGGAAGTTGGAGACGATAAGTAACAGTATGCCAAGATCTATCCCATTGGATTTGATCCCGAACTTGGGCTACAGATGAATCCCGATCATGCCCTCTGAGCTGTTGCGAGCTCCTCGTGTTTGAAGCAGGTGTTTTCGGCCCATTATTGAACCCTTGTGATTCTCCAAATGGTTGGCTTGATGTTGTAAAGCTACCGGTTGGCGTTGCGACTGGGGTAGGTTCTGAAATCTCGGGCTTTTTGAATACTGAATCCAAAACGCGTTTTCTTTTCGTGGCAAAAGTGGCCATCACGATCGGGAATTTATCAGACAGCGGAAGATTTTTGCATCACTTCATTTAATCTGTGCTTCGTTTTGTATTAACCGCTGAAGTGAAAGCCGTATAACAACAATAAAACTGTCCATGGAAAGAGCATCCAAATATTGAAACCACGAACTCACGTGATCGTGCGTTTCTTGTGTTAAATTCCGGCACGCAATGAAGACGTAATTAATAAAAACCGGATAAGTATGTTTCGAATCTACTGTGCGACACAATTTTATGACCAGGCACCTAGGTTTGTTTACAGTTTTCATATTTTTAAACTACTTCTGAGTACATATTATATAATAAGCATTAGATTTGCGCCTTGCCACCTCCTTATTCGCCTAGGGTAGTACCTTCCAAGTAAATCAAGTAACAAATGAAAGCTGGTTCAAGCATTTTTAGGGTAGCCTGCCTCCCAGAACTCCCTTGCCTTCCGAATCAACCAAAGGATGTCTATCTAAATTTGTAAAGAAAAACGTTAAACATTATTTCATATCGACGTGATTCTCCCTGCTGGAGTAGTTCTTGGTCTTGGCCGTAGATTAATTACAGACTCGAGTTCTCGGAGCATTTTAGTATTGGCATCCGCTCGGTCTCTCAGAGACTCTCTCTTCACACGATCTTCCTTCATCTTCACAATACGTTCTTCCCTTGTCAATTTGCTGCGTTGGTGTGGTATCGCGATTGCTTCAAACACCTCTTCTGCTTCGGAACCACTCAATTCAAGGCTAGACCGAGATCTCCCCTCACCATTGAGAGCTCTCAAAGCGTCAGCGGCTGTTCCCTCTTCAACGGCTGTTAGGCCTCCTAGAGATGATGCTGGCGATGTCATTCCACACATAGAAGATAGACGTTTTTCGTTCCTGTCAATGTTCACTGCCAAGGCAGCTTTCCCATCTTCCCACTCTTGCATCAATGCTTTCAAGTCAATGCCTATTGAATCGTATTGCATCATCAGATTTGAACCGAGTTCCGATACATCTTCTGTGTCGTTCAACGATTTATCAGACTCCTCGCGCAAAACATGCAATTTCGCTTGTAGTCCACGGATCCCAGATGACAGCGTGTTTAGTTTGCGTAATTGTGCCCGCGCACGTTCTCGTCCCGGAGTAAGGGGTAGTTTTGGAGTGGTTGGAACCGGGAAATCTATAGGATATTAGATTTGAACGATAGTGACAAATGGTTTCGAACTTACTCTCTTCTTCGCCTAATATACGACGAATTTTACCCTCTGCTTCAGAAGTGACGGAGCAAAGTGTGTGTAATTCGTCAACAGCAAGGCCCCATCTGTGAAAGTCCGGTTTACCGCCATGCGCATCAAATGCAAGAAGGCAACAAAGAAAAATCTTTCGAATAGTGTGGAATCTAGCAGCGAATATTTTCAATATCCTGACAGAATCCTCATCCTCGAATTCGCCTTCTGTGTAGCCTAGCATAGCCTCCGTATAGTCCAAATCGCTTATATCGTATACATCATAGTATTTATCTAGATCCATCTCTTCCGCTAAGGGCTTCAATAAGTTGCATGCTTGTATATACCGAGGAATAATGTTCGCAAAGGAAATTCGGAGGATCTTTCTGAGCCGTAGACATCTTCGTGTCTGACTTCGATCTTCGAGACGACTGACGGGGGGCAAGGGTGTGCTTCTACCAAGAGGTTAATTTTGCCAGTAAGTTGAATGGTGAAAAATCCTACAGTCTATATCCACGAGATACCAGTTCAACTTCTTGGACAAGTGTTAGAGCTCCTGCCGCAACAGCATCAAATTCCTGTGCTTTGTGGACAAATTGCGATGCTTCCACGATAGATTGCTGTCGAAGGTATTGGAGCCACTGCTTCCGCACATATGTATATAATACTATAGCAGAAACCACTACGGTAAAAGATAGTATTGCTACACGGATCTTTCCACGTACAAAAGTTCCATTTCCGCGTGTCCAGTGTATTAACCATGTAAAAGAAAAAGCAAGTGTTGCCGTGGCTGCGGCGCCCGAGAGAGTGAAGGTTCCAATTTGCGGGGCATCAAGTGTAGGCCCTGTAACGTCTCGAGATTGGCCATGGCCTGTCTGCGCAAGAAAGGAATGTGTGTTGAGAAGTTGTGAAGCTACTATGACATAACGGAATCGTTCGAGAAACTTTGCATTGTCGGCTCGACCAAGTCGTGAATTGACAGCTTCCTGCGATTGATTATCAGACGATAAGACTTGGACTTGGATAAGGCCCAGATGACGACTTACGGAACAGGTATTATGTATCGCCGCGACAGTGGTGTTGCGCGGAGGGGTAAGCTGCAGAGGCGGAGGAAGTTTATGTCGAAATTTAAGAGATACGGTTGGCTTCCCTCGTGGAGCAAATGATGGACTCGACAAATCAGAATCCGCATCCCCATCATGGCTTGATGCCCATCGTGTGTCCTCTCCACCTTCTCCTATGGCAACATGTCAGTAAGTCCCCACTCATGCAGTGCAAGATATCCCCCTCCTCTTCATGCATACCTTCGAGATAGGCGGCGAGCGGAGAGTCTTCGTGTATTATAGTCTCCATGGAATGCAAGTCGTTACTGATAATTGCCGTCACAGTCCATTCCGGTAGGTATCATCAAAATAAGAGTGCGCGAACGACGAATGGGTGAATGAATGAGCGAGCGAATGGGGTCTGAATGAAAGGAGCTCCGATGTAATTAGTGGTTATAAGACAATGTAATGAACGAATGAATGGATGAATGAACGAATGAACGGTGGAAGAATTGACCAATTGCTATCAGTTGTAATTTGTTGGTTTATTAATAAGAGATGCTTTGTTTACTCAATATTGGGCCGAGCAGAGCAGAATCAAATACTCGAGAAGATTGCTCTGTAAAGATCCGGATAACTACATCGACTATAGTCGGTCAATTGCATACATACATACCTACCTGCTCTCTCCCTTGTTTAAGCTTTACACAAGTTCCGCGAGTCCACGACAGGAAACTGGCAAGTCCACCAATCTCTCGGGTCAAGGAATCGATGGAGTACCTTGCAACGAGAAATCTTAATATGGATCAATCACCGATTTGCCGATATTCGTGACCTGTCTAAGCCACTCAGAGCCACTTAGAGCCACTCAAAGCCACTGCTCCAACCCCTTGATATAAAGTTTTCCCCACTGCTCCCCCGTCTTCCTCATCTCAAAACAATTCAAAACATTCCTACTTTCGTCCGAATAGTCCCCAAGCTATGGTCTTTCGAGGGTCTTTCGTCCAGTTTTGCTCAATTTTTGAGTTGAACCATATATATACTTGTTTCAAGTTATCACGATATTTGTCAAAGCGGGAAATCAATATGGCAAACTCCACTAGTATCACTATATTCGGGGTACTAACGGTTTTCCAGGGAACAAATATAGGTTTCAAGTTCAACCTACGTATAGCTAATAGACCCAGACCTCATTTCCACTCCATGAACCAACCGTTGCTCGGCTCAAATTGACCCTGTATCTGTCTATTTCTGCTCTGGCTTTACAGATAGATGGAGGTATATGCGAGATAGCGATGTGCTATTATGCAAACTTTCGCCCCATACATATATGTACACATAGCATAGATTTGGCTGCTCTTGTGTCCTCTTTTGTGCCTGAATTATGAATGGAGAGTCAGCCTCAGATGAATTCTAAGTTTGGTATCAGACTCAAGAGTGTAGGTATAGAGGAAAGCTTATGAAATGAGAATTTATGTCTTCCGGGGTATTCGGCATGATATGAGAGGCATGTTATATGAGAGGAGCACCGAGCATAAGTTTATTCCATATGTTGGATTAACGTTCACAAGTTCTTAATAAAGATAAGATTTGGGTTTCAATGGCTTCGGAATTTCGGAAGTGGGTGGAAATCCAGGAGACGATGTCGCATCGTCGTACCTCTGAGTTTTCCGACGTTCGACGAAATAACAAAAATACAAGTCAAGGTGCCAAGTTGTTCACGAAACCCCTCGTAGACGCCATCTTTTGTCGAGAAAGAACCTTGGTCGGGAGAAGAAATTCCGTTCACACCACGTATGTCCGGTTTGTGGACCGATTTACACGATGTCGACACGGGCCAATACATTGATTGTTGGTGAGGTATCGAATGGATCTTACTGACGTGTGCGGCATCAAGTCGATGTAGAAGCGAAGTTATGGTTTGAAGAAACATGCTGAAATTCTCTGGATACTTGAGGTTGGTACATCACCTCGTTTTAGCAACGACACATTCAGAGCTTTTTCAGTCGAGGGTCTCAAAGCTAGGAAAAACGCTTTCTTCATCACTCTATCATTTTGTAGCAGGCTGGCACTCATACAAATTCAATTGTGGCGAATGGCATTAGCAAATAGTACACGCACATTTCCAGGTATTGGACGCTGTTCGTTTGTTCCTTTACAGGTATGCTAGATCTTTAGTGAGATCAAATGATGCCCTGCCTTAGTCAGACGTATCGAAGGTGATAGTTTTTGGAACTATGACTTCTGCATACATCAGCTACTATGGGACTTCTTTTTTAACCAAGGCCACAGCAACTCTCTGGTCACGAGTCCATCTCATGCTCATGTCCAATCAACGATTCCACTATTTTTACACCAGTAATCTATTGTTTGCTTCACTCAACACGACTCAAATCCTTTCGATCTGATGTGTCTGCAGCCAAACTAGTGCTGTGAATGTTATGAGCAAGATCAACCGAGTCGTAATAGGAATAAGCTTGACTTCAAATGGAGAATTGTCTTCGTGGAAGCTTTGACAAGGGGCACTGCAGCCCTTCCACGAAGCCCGGCTAGAGAAGGTAGAGCCTTCTGAGATCCCTCAACAGACTGAAGTCTTGCTTCCGCAATTTTGATGCTCAGTTTTCCACCGTTGAGTTCTCTCGTATGCGAGTCTTTCATGTACCAATCCATCACGCTCTTTTGATCCGAACTGTACAACTACTGCTCTCAGGTATACGAGTCGAGACGGGTCACTCCTCCCCTGGTACCATGGCACTTGGTTATGACCGGAGGGTACAAATGCTCTTTAGCCACTTGCACGAGGATTGAAAAACTTCACACCGCATTAATGAGGGGAACATCAAGACATTGCTTATACGAGAAAGGATTGCTTCCGCATCACAGCAAAGCCGGCCGATCATTTGCTCGTCTTACCAGCAGTTGTTTGACATCATTGCAACGTGGATGAAGATGATTCTGGCATCCTGTGGTGCTCTGCAGTACTTCTGTCGCGAGAGTAAGTGTATAATTTTTCAGACTCGATCAAAGTAAGCAGTATGACATTGGACCTGGAGTCAGAGAACTGAAACATGGATAAATGAAGTTTCAAAGACCTGTATTCTTACAGGAAGCAAGAATTCCGACATCAAACATATCGGAGAAATTCTTTGCGTGCAGGGGAGTTCGCAAACTGCGACAAAAGGAGTTAGTTCAGTCAATCTGGACCACTATCTTGGGCATTTTCAGGATCACGTGTCTTTGTTTTCATCATGTTTACTTTTGAAAATGCGGAGACTCCATTTCGAAAAATTACGAATTATTTGTAGCCCCCCCCTTGTTCATTATTGTGATCGAAAGAGTGTGGCAATACAAAACCGTGCCCTGTACGTAGAGCCATCACATCATTGACACTTACTCTTCTTGGGGTAGGTTGCGCGAGTTTCCTCCTCCAGAAAGTGCTCTTTCCTGTTCTCCTTGATCATAAAGTGAATTTGCTTTTTGGCTAGACAGACAAGAAGCATGCCGTGCTGCCAGTTGCGGATCGCAAAAGCAAACTTCCATTTAAAGTAGTACCAAGGCTGTGAAGGCCTGCAGGAATCTATAAGCATCCAGATCTTCCGTCAAACTCTCGAGTGAGCTTTTAAATTGTTGAGTATCTACAATGTCTTTTACAACACCAATTTATCCAGGTATTAACCTCGAGGCCAACGAAGGACCTCTATTGAAGGCGGTATCAATTGCTTTCATCGCCTTGACTGTGTGTACTGTTGCCATCCGCTTTTTTTCCCGGTGGTACACCAAAATCCCCCTGGGCTTAGATGAATTGTTTATTCTCATTGCAGCAGTAATTCTCACCCTCTAGAGACTCCTCCCACAGTACAATACGTAACCCAAACTAACATCAGGTCCAGCTCCTCTCAATCTTCTATACAGCAGTCATAATTGTTGAAGTCAATAATAACTTCTACGGACAACACGTTCACAAATCAGATCCGGAACATCTTGAAGCTTATCTGAAAGGCCTATATGCTTTGGCTCTTCTCTATCCCATAGCTCTTAGCACGAGCAAGTTGTCTCTATTAGCGCTTTACTGGAGAGTATTCGCTGTCACTGGTGGGAAAGTACCAATTATTTTCGCCAGTGCAATCAATGGGGCGTGGGGTGTTGCTGCTGTGAGTCAATTTCTTACCATCATCTAACTATACCGTCTGAAAGTTCAACTTCATAGTTTTTGAAACATTCTTTCGCCCCATATCACCTCATATAATGCTATGCCGATCCAAGTGCCAGTCAGAGGATCTTGAGAGAGAAAATACTAATGCTATATCTCTACTAGCTCGTTGTGGGAATTTTCTCATGTCGTCCCGTAGAAGCTTTTTGGAACACTACAATCACCGCAAAATGCATCGATTACCCTGTCTTCTTTACTTCCAATGAAGCGTTTACAATTGCTTTTGATATTGTGGTTCTATCCATCCCAGTTTGGTTCATTGCGCAAATCAAGAGAAGTATAGGGGAGCGGATTACTATTAGCAGCACTTTTTTGTTAGGGCTTGTGTGAGTGTTTCATCGAATAATGGTCACCTGGTCAAACACCCTAATCCAAAATGTAGGGTAACGGTAGTTTCGGCAATTCGACTATGGCGGCTGGTTGTTGCACAAAGATTGCCGGGCTTTGATCCTACTTGTAAGTCAAACTTCCAAGCCATTTTCTACCGCTCTCCTATGAAGTTTAGTATCTTACATGCGAACTCCTCAACCATCAACTAAGAAAGCAATAGTCAACGACGTAGACGCCGGTCTATGGGCAATAATCGAACTCAACCTCTGGATTCTCGTCGCCTCGATCCCGACTTTCCGCCCCTTGCTCGGCCAAATGCGGCGCGATTACTTTGAGAATCGAAGCGATAGTGAAGAATCCCCTGAATACCCTCTCAGCAGAACAAGAACTACCGGTACTTTGTTTCCCAGACAACAGCGAGACATGAATTTAGACACAGAGCCCGTATTTGGATTCGACGACGCGAAGAGAAACTCGGCAACCCCATCGGAGATCGAGCGACATGGAAGAAATGGTAGTTCGGGGACGGGGGTTAGTGGGGATAGTGGATTTGGAGAGAGCCTGGGCGTGAGAGTCGTAGATGCGGACTTGGAATCGCAGATAGAGACGGAGATTGAGGGGTGGAGAAATGCTTATGGATATGCGTCTCAGAAGGGTGGGGTGGGGGTGGGAGATAAACAGAGGGGGAGTAATGGGATGAAGGATTTGGCGGGGATAAAGGTGCAGAAAGAAAGAGATGTCAGGAGGGATGCGGGGGATTGAGCGGGTTAGTTTGGGTGTTGGGTAGTGTGTGATGGATGGGGTAATGGATTGGATTGAAGGAGTTTGAGGGGAAATACCTACTGGCGTTCGGATCCGGGCTCTGGATAGCGGATATTTTGCATGTTGTCAATAGCGATGATTCCTTGATTTAGCTGGTTGCTTTTGAGGGACGGGGAAACGGCGAATATGGTATATAGTCTGATTATTTGGGACACTTAGACGACGCTTATTTTTAAGAAAGGTTTCAGCATTCTAACGCTAAAATTATTTTTTCAATCTTCGGCCCCATTCAAAGTTCAATTGATCAAGAAATCTAGGGAACGTCCGAAGCCAAAACACTTTTCGTCTTCCACCACCGTCCGAAAAAAAATGTAGAGAGGGGTAAAGCCATTCTTTCTCCATCTCCTGCGAGAAGAGAATTGAACTAAAAGATTGCCTCTCTCACGTAGTCATTTCTATTTTGTCCCATCATAACCTCCCCTCAAACGCGTCTACCGTCCAGCCCGCCCAAATAGCATCTAATCAGAATGAAAGTTTCTAAATCTAAGTTTTTATATATAAAAAAGTCCACCATGCTTTGACTCCGTACAATCCAACTAGCAAACAAATTATTAACGCTTGAGGAATTGGCAGTGACAGTAATAGCATACTAGATAAGCTGAACGGCGCCACATTCTCAGAATCGTCATATCCATCTTTCTTGGACGACTTTTCCACGTTTGTCTACAATTGTAGTTGCTTCGCTAAAAGCTACGGAATTGCATAGTTTGACGTCATTTCCATCAACTAAGCGTATATCCGACTCTACTCGTCCCCTTCGATCTCGCAATCTTCTTCACAGTCGTCTTTCCACACTGGTTCGTACTATCCACATGTGTGCCACCACAAGGATAAGTTTCCGCGCCCACGATTTTCACCACTCTGAACTTCTCCTCCTTCGTCATTCCCATAGCTGCTCGATCGGGTATCAATCTCTCCATTCCGTTTGCGACGAAATCTGCCTCATCCCACCAGTGAATCTCAACGGGCATATCCGCCTCGATATACTCGTCGATTTTTTGCTGGATGGGTGTTTTCCAGGTACTTTCTATGAGGCCGGCAAACTCACACGCAGCGGAAGAGGGGAAATGCGAAGCTTTCGTTTCGTCGAAATTGGGAACAGAAGAGGAAACGAGATGACGAACTGCAGCTCCGAGAACATGGCCGGCGGTATGGTAACGAGAGTACAAGAGACGTTTTCCCTGGTCGATTTTCTGGGTGATTTCTTGACCCGGGAGAAATTGAGTGGGAGTGGTGAATGAACCGAAGTGGAGAACTTCTCCGTCGGTGGTGGCGCTCATACGTACCATTTGGACGATGAATTTGCTTCCTTCTTCGTTCTCCATAATGCCCTCATCGGATGGTTGACCACCGCCTTGGGGATGGAAAATGGTAGACTTGGTTATGATGACGTATGAGTCTTCCTTGCCATCTTTGAAAAGCAATCTGTTTTCCTCGGAAAGCGTCAGGAAAGGACTTATGGATGTGATTGTGGTTTGGAGCGTAGACAGATGTGAGTCATGATGAAAAGCTAGATGGGTGCGTTCGGTCATGGTTTTTGAGATTTGAAAGATTTGAGGGATTAAATGAGAATTCTGGCCGACTTCTAATTCTGGAATTGACTGAAGCGTTTGGGTTGAGAAGTGAAATGAAGTCCAGGAATTTCATCCAATTCAGATTCCTTTCGAGAGTCTGTGGTAGCCTCGGTGAATCGACGCTTATCCGAGGGAAAGAACAATCAGAATACAACTTTCCTGACTCTGGTATCAAAGTTTCTGATATAATATCTTAGAGATTTGTAGACGAAGTCTGATATATAAGGTGAACTCCAAAACCAGAAGCTTCTAGATTTACGGTTAAAATAAGCTAGCCCAAGAGGGAAGGAGTGCAGAGCCACATGGCATTGAAAAGATAACGATCACGCCCTTCCTGATACATTTTGTAAACCTCCTAGAATTAGTCACATCACGTTAATAACCGAACTTCATTGTCGCCCCCTATTAAGTCATTACGGATTTGGGACCAATCGATCAATCTTTTCGACAAAAGGACTTTTGAGAAAAATATCCCAAGCATACTACAACAAGTGCCGTCATATATTGAAAGCATAGAGATACAGTCATTCGAGACTTCTGCTCGATCAATAATGCTTGGCCTTGAGTAGGATTTTATGTCATAGCCATGGAAAATCTCATGTCATTATAAACATCATTTTCAAGCAGCTTTCAATAGTCAGCCACATCTACAGTCTATCTCCAGCCTCAGTACCTACCACTGGCAAGCAACATAAGCCGCCATGGGAAGAAAGATTAGCACGCAAAAAGGATAAGATAATTGGCGAATAATATTTCTCGCATTTCCAGCTATATAAGGTTACAGTGTCGCTGCAGGCCATGTAAGCAGATCCCAAACTTGCGGTAAAGTCATATGTGTTCTTCTTTCTTCCAGAATATAATCGTTTTCGATTATTTCGTGAGTGATGCGCGCAGAGAGGTGATGACCGAAGACCGAAATGGCAATAATCATAATCCGAGTGCGATGGGTATTCCACAATGGTCATTTGCCTCTTCTGCCAGGAGCTTCAATGCCTGTGAAAAGATAGATGAGTGGTAGAATTGGTGTAATAATGATTTACTCTTTGAATCCTTTGGTGAGCATTAGAAGTTGTCGTGATGGTGGATCTGATCGTATTGTACACGATTCTTGTTGCATGCAAATACGATGGTAACCATCATCAGAGGGCGCTCGTACTTACATTTCCAAATATATTCCTTTTCCGAGCTGTCTTGCATATTGTAACGTTTCTGGTAAATATTCGTTTAGATCCCAAGGAGGTTGATGAATCCAATGATCCGTAAGGCTGAGCAATGAGTACCTAAGTCGACGTACCAGGGAAATGAAAGCTTACTACACATGTTGAAAGCATCAACACGCATACATCAGAGCTTACAAATCAATTTAGATCTCCGATAATCTTTGGTGGATACCTCAACATGAATGAGGGAAGGAAAATTTCATAGCGCTCAGAGATCTAGATTTACCTTAGTCAAATCGATGGATGAGAAGGAGGGAGCGAAAGCGAAAGAAACTGGACGAATAGATCCTGGAACTTCGTACAGAATAAAATGCTGATGAAATTAACCTAGTTGATGACAAATATGGTAAACATGATACTTTTGATACCTTTGATACCCATACGGAGTATGTTCGTTATCCTTCCAAAGCAATTTGAGTTCAAAGTAGTTGGGATGAATAAAAATCGAATAAGAATTCCCAAGGCACTTCAAAATGGTTTACCCCTGCACGGTGACTCGGTGACCACCAAAACTCATCACGGGACGGTTCGCTAACGATCAATTTTCCGCTGCACGTTCTCATCATGACAAATTCATGAGCCCATCATAAAGATATACACATAAATGCTTAGATATAAGTGACTTGCATTAGTCTTCTAATATATCAGCAATTGAGCTACGGCCTCCCCGTCCTGGGAATGACCTTTCATGGGATAGTACAAACGACCGTTTGTTCTGTGTCCTCATCCGCGTCACCAATGATATATCGTTAGCAGTCATGGATACCATACAACTCTTGTAGGATGCATCGCGAATAGGCTCTTCATAGTAGTTGCATCTTCAGTTCGCCGAATTTTTCATGAAATGCTCCGTATTCATCGTGGGCTGTGTAATATATGAATCATAAGGTTCACTGCATCTCAATCGAGATCCAGAATCCCAAGTTCGGGTATCGAAACTGCTCGATGTAACTAGTGCTGGTAGTCAGCTCAGATTCACCATCTCGGTACCTCCTTGTTGCCATGAGTGCCGCAGGATTCCTCGATTCCTGTCTAATCCGTTTTGGGATCTTGCCCAAGCTGAGCTTTTTATATGCCATGATGGAGTAAATGCTATTATCAGATATCTATCTTCGTGCATTTCATTTCAGAGTATCTATATAGATGAAGAGATATCCTCACTGATTTCGTTATTCAATACATCAGACATCAACAGATCTTTCCAACATCGCAGCTAATACTTTTAACACTCATCGACTTCACCGTCATTATCCATCCTTACATCTTCATACTTTTCCATCTAACACTATAACTTCACCACTCAATTATGTCTTGCAACTCAAAATCTTCCCGTCATCAATCAAGAAGCACCGAGGGCAATCCCGAGGATATGGTGGAGCAAGTCAAGAGCATTATCACTTTACTGAACGAAGTTGTCTCATCTAGACCTCATGAATGTGAAACCTATATTCCCTCTGCTCGCTCAGCTGTCACTGCTCTCGAACATGTTCGCTTTTTTCGCGACCCAGCACGCTTTGCTGAGCAGGTCTGGATCATCCAGGGACTTCAAAGCTTTGCTTTCTATGACGCAGATAATGGAAGTGTTGTAGATATTGCAGACTTCTGCCAGAATGGATGGCTGAGAGTTTTGAGAAACTACCCGGATAATGTTGACGTCTTGACGGGTAAGTCAACATAATATCTTACTGTCTCTAGACAGACATTTTGTTAACACAACTATCATATTAGGGCTGGGTAACAATTGGCTTCAGAGATCTCAAGTAACTTTAGCCCGCATTCATTACGAAGAAGGAAATGATACCACAGGTACTTCTGACTTAGAAACTTACTTCTTAGAATACGATTCTGACAATTCATCTTCTCTAGCACCGCCCAATGACCCCCGCAGACAAGGACCCCTCTATGTCGAAGCTCGAGGTTATCTACAACCAGCTGTGGATTTCTTCACTCGGGCCATTCGAGCCGCTGATGGTCTTGGATATACTACTGGTGACCTATTGGCTTCCGTAAGTCGCAGCCCTCACGCATGTCCAGAGAATCTAATCTAACAATTAATCAGGCTGCAGAATCACATATGAGTCTAGGCAACGTATCTGCATCTCCAGCAGATGAACATGCTTTCACTCAAGCAATCCGATATTTGCGTCGTGCAGAAACAACACAGGGGTATCAGTTATCGGAGCATATGCAACAATATCTTGATGATTATGGAAGATATGTTTCTTAACTTCTTCATCCTTTCATACCTTTTTCTCCAGCATCTTTTACACACTGTACGATATTGAGAATTTCGGCGTACACAACAACAGCATTCAGTTTTCGGAGTCATTGTCAGCATTTTCAGGAACAGCGTAAGATTGCATAGCAGCGGTGATTGGATATTGGGCAAACAGTTTTGAATTATAGAGCAGATCATTTCTGATTTTGAATTTTCATGTATTAACACTCCTGACGAACAGCGTCGATTAGATTTCTTTTTGGGCAATGTCTTTCCTTTTTATTGGCATCACATTTTTTCTGTTTCTGCCTTTCTCGTCATATTTTTTTTTACAATTTCTTTCACTTCTCTCTACCTGAGTCTATCCTATAAGCTGCAACAGCAGACCTGTACTGTTGAAAACTTAGCATAGCTAGAATAGCAAACAAATTTCTTGCACACTTTCTATTTTCTTACATGATTCGCTCAACATAATTCATCCCATTGATATCAGAAAAGGTGTTAATTCACGTGATATAAAACCCAACTAGATGGGTGATTCCCGAGACTCCCTCCTTGTCTAGATCCTTCCGGAATGAAAAATCCTCCCGGTAACATAAATAGGGCTGGGAGGATTGCGCTTAAGTATGAGAGGTAAGCGCGGTGAATGAATGGTTATGATACTCGGCATGATAGCTCGCGGCTGCAATGTGTGTATGAGTGATAGGCTTCAGTCGTAGGTACGGAGTAGACATCGGACTAAATGAATAGAAAGAATGATTTGTGATTTGTCCTTGAATCTCGAATAGAATAAGAGTTTCTGAATAGTATGAATATCCATTCTCGTAGATAGATATCTAAGACTTGAATATTTCAGTACGTAGCTACAGACATTTTGATCTTGTAAGTATGGAAATCTGCACAACAGTATAGAGCAAGAGACACGCGGAGATAGCTGGAAGCTGAAGATGCTGTTGGCGTATGTAGTACGGATCAAGCTTACAGCCGAGCTTGGAAATTCCTGCACAACAAAATTGTAGCTGCGGGAGATGAGGTGAGCAGTTTCTGCTATACACGCCCGAAGGATTTGCTTGATGTGATCATGAACAGTCGGTGACAACAGGTGAGGTAGGGGTTGATCTTACTGCAATTAATGCATACATTGTCATACTTGACACCTCATGTGAAAGTGGCGATAAGTTTGGATCTGACAGAGACTTCAAGAGAAGGGACGAGAAATTTTGCTTCTGTAATAGCTTTCTGCAATTATATATCTCGTATTAAAATATCATCTTGCTTGGTATCCACGAGTGGACCCGACATGCACATGGATGTCCCCTCCCGAGGTCCCCAACTGTGGCTAAATGTGGCTGTTAATCCTAGAACCTGCGATGTGGTCTTCAAGCCTTGGGGTTAAGGCACCAACAAGTAAGCTCCAGAACACCTGGAAAGCTTCAGTGGCACCTCCAATTTACGAATACCTCCCCAGTAACACAACACAACACAATCTCCAATTCCCTTATTGAAGTTCGCATATCTCTCGATAGTCTTCGTCACCTTACCACGGCAATAAGCAAAAGTAATTCCAACATCATGCTTGCAGAACGAGAAATGCAAATAAGTCCGATTGTGCAAGAGTCTGTGATACACAATACAAAGGTTCGTTGTCCAATTTGTCAAGCTCAAGTTGGAGGCATCGTTTGGGTGAACTGCGCCGAGCGAGCATGAAATAGTCTCGATGTTTATCAAGCTACCATAATTGCAGCTTCACAGACCTCCTCTCTCTCTCTCACACACAAATCAGCTAATCATCATCTGCTATAGACTCTCGCAACTCTCCACAATCTCACAGCCTCCCTCTTTGGTGTCGCCGCTGGTATCCTCGGTCTTGAATCCTACCCTGGATTCCTGTTCTACATCTTCTTTACGCTCCTCACTAGTGCACTCGTATATGTATTTCGGATAGCTCCGCACATGAGTAAAGATACCAAGGGAGATCGATATTTTAGAGGCGCGTGGGAGTTTTGGTCGGGAGGGTTAGTAGAGGGTCTGAGTGGATTTGTGTTGACCTGGACTTTATTCTATGGATTGGTTAGGGCGTAATGGTAGAGAGTGGGTCAATGTGGCAGGGGGAGTTTGGGAATACAGTGAGATCTTTATGGGATAGGCTAAAGTGCTGGATGGACATGAGAAACATCTAAATCTGAGAGGATTCAATCTCGGAAAATCAATCGACTATCCTACATCCAACAATCTTCGGACACGAACGTCGAATAAAGGATGTGGGGAATGGGAATGGCCAATAAATCACAAGCGCAAGCGAGAGGGATCCGTGCAATAATAGGAATGGAAAGATAGGTGTGGTGATGACTGGAAGGAATACGGAAGATTGCGCTTCTTGAATATCGGCGCGGATGGATTTCCCTCGTCGCGACAATCATCAACAAGTATGGCGCTTGGAGTTGGACTGGTTTAAATTCGACATGCTTGATGTTTATATTCCCAAATGGTGGTTATGTCTATGTGTCCATATACAGTATTGCGGAATACTAGAGTTTGTATCACGGATATAGATTTGAATTATTCCTTTTGCATGTGTTAATGAGAGTAAGTGTTGGCAATATGGTAGGACATGAATTTCTTCGTTATTTTTCTTTTGTTGCTGTTAGCAATGCTATTCAGTATACTAGTCCAGTCAGGTTTTCTGTTCGATTGTCTACAAATGCTCCAGAAAAGTACTGGGTCGCATCGAATTTCATTACTGGAAATATGGAGGAGAGATAGTGATACTTGCCAAATCTTTCAAAACACAAAACACGCTTCTATACCCATCCTTTCTTGTAAACTTTCTTGCATTTGAACTATCGAATTTCCTTTCTATAACCTGAATTTCGTTACGTATGGTAAGAATATTACTTGTGGGGGTTTCCTAGTTGCCGAGAGTCCTCTGAGACGGAATATCAATTTTGAATTAAGGGTGCACGCTGAATTTGAGCTTACTATCAACTTTTTAACCCATTCGAACATTCTTCATTGCCTTTTTGATTGATTGTATTGTTATCATCATTATTTGATTATTATTACCACCGCATGCGAAACTCGTGTCATTTACAACCTTCATAGCTTTTGTGCGACTGTATGATCGGATGTGTTTGTGATGAAGTCAATGCAATTTGCTATACTAAGTGCCTATGGATAGTTTCTTGCTCCCTTAAAATTTGTGGGGTATCTTTTGGGTTGTGTGTAAAAGGAAAACGTATTGAGGGATATAGGAAGTGTATTTGTAGTAAAGCAGTGGGAAAATCATGACTTGTAAACCCCTCCTCTTGAAGGGTTCACCCTCGCTTACAGACCTCATGCTTCTTGCTTCTCTAATCCGCTATCTTTTCTCTCCTTGACTATGAACTCCCTGTCCTGCTTTGATTTCATTCATAACCACAACATGAAAGGAGCTGGTACTTGTCCGTAAGGTGGCGGAGATTTTGATGTAGATCCCTTTAAACCAAAGTTAATTATTGTTATGGAATAAGTGGGCGATGATTGGTTCATTGTGTCAAGAGAAGTATCAAGATCGAGTTCAAGTCATGTATCTGGTAATATCAGTTCGGAAAGTTTTGGCTAATCGGGATTTCTTCATAAACACAGCTTTGAGAATAATAAGAACATGCATTGAACGTCAATTGATGTATCTTTGCCATGCGGTGGGACGAGTCTTTCTAGGGTGTGTTTGATGGTAAATGAGAAGACGGTGTTAAAGAGATGATTTGATGATGTATTAGTAAGGTAATAGTAACATGAAAGAGTTAACATAAATTCTATTGTCCATAGATCAGTCACAATTGAATGGTTCTTTTTCAGCCTATAATGGATTATTCCCGAGATCACGATCTGGCTAATTTACTATTGAGAGAGGGCGGCAGAGATTTCCCGGGGAAGTGTAAATGGTGTGATGTACGAAGAGGGTTGGGATAGTGGCAGAAGATTTGTTTTTGAAAGTTTGATGTTTAGCTTAGAGATGGGAGGGGATCGACTATGAAGAGAACAGTCGCTTCGGGTGGGGAAGGGGGTGAGGAAGAGGAACAACAGTGTTATTAGTAAGTGAAGTAAAGAAGTAACACAGCTTTGTCAGGGGGTGGGAGTTGGATCATGTGTATAATATCGATTGAACTGACTAATAACTAAACTTCCTGACAAATGATGAAGACTAGTACATGGCCAAGTGGCCAATTACAAGAAAGACATGAACGCAAACGTAAACTGCCGGAATTCCGAATGTTTGCTCTTTCGCTCCTTCCCCTGTCCCAGGATCATCATAATATCGCCATTGCCGTTACTTCTTTCTTAGTGCAGCGAAAAGGCCACATCGACAAATAAAAAAGTCAAACACAGTCCCAATCGCTAGTCCGAAGACTAATGAAAGGTACGTTCCCACAAAAGAAATTAGATAAAGTATTGTGGTCAATCTCGTGATGAATGGAAAAAGTGAGTCATCTTGGACCAATTAAGAAGAAGTTTCCTCTTGGAAGGTGTGAATCAAAAATTATGAGAGCAGTCCGCAGACTGCCGGGCCGGCGAACCAGCTCGTCCCATCTAACATTCTTGATCGAAAGATGGACTCTCTACACCTCGTCTTTTACAAAGGTAAGCCGCGCTTTGATGAAGGCCTATACTCTCTGCAGTGAGCGGCATAATGGGGAGGGGAGTGCCACTTTGTGAAGGTGGTTCGACACTTCGGAGAGGGTATTCAGCGCTTCCCGAAGGAAGGTGATAGTCACTCTGTGAAGGAGATTCAACACTTCGTAAAAGGAAGTTCACCACTCTGTAGCATGACACCCACCACAGATGGTATAGGCCCCCATCATAGTGCGACTTATCTTTGTAAAAGGCGAGGTGGTATAAAGAAGAAAGAAAAGAAAATGAAAGTTGTGGGGGGAATTCGAGTTTAAATAGACATTTTGAGAACGCTAGTTTAGAAGATACTAAGACGAAGTCACGGGATTAGATGACATTCACTCTTAGTACATTAAACTCTTAGAACATATTGCTCAACTCATTATTGGCTGGGAAAGACTCGGAGGAGTACGTCTACTGATACTATTGTTCTCTATTGAAGCTTTTTTAGTTTCTTATGACACATTGACTTCTGACTTTCAGCAAAGGAACAATTCGGTTAGTTGTTTGGCATTAACAAGAGCGTACTTTCAGAGAATTGCTTCATGAAATGCGCCAGTGAAACAGAAGATATCTTATATTCTACTCGCTACGATCTATACAGAGCATGTAAAAGGGTGGAGTGGGATGGGACTGTGATAACCTAAGGCCTGGTTCACACACAAAATTTATGGATATTCATCACAGATTTACCTGGTACACAGCAAAATTAATGATAATAGATTGACTTGAATATAACGGTACACTCCGAAACTCAATATGAGAGTTTATTATCATATTGCAAAGTATTCTTTTGCGTCGTATCCCAAGAACTTATGATAGTTCACAGGTTAAATAATCTTCACAGGATAGCATTGAACTCAAGCATAATCAGGGCGAGCTCAGAATCCTCGAACTGACCATTTGGCTTCTGAAATAGCCCATATCATTGCCGTTGAGAGTGTGAAAGTTGACTTCAAAAGTCCTTGATCATGATTACTTATGCAGCCAAAATAAAGAAATATACTGTGTTTTTCCTTCTGTAATCTGTCATCTGTTTGTCTGTTTGCTTTAATTTTAGGTTTCGATGTCTCTTGACCACATGCATGCTGTCTAAGGGGCCAGGCTAAGGGGCAACGATTTTTCTTACATATCCTACTCCCGCTGTCCTACTGTAAAAATGTCTCCTTTCAATAAAGATCAACGCCATTCAATCAACCAAAATTTTTCTCTCCAAAAATTTACAGAGAGAATCACAGAAATAACATAAATTTCGAAAACAATTGATGCGGCGATCGAGATTATGATTGCCGAGGATATTCAGGGGGTCTAGAACATCATGTGTTGAAAATAACAATTGGAAATAATCGGGAATTGTTCGCCTGGCTTGTAATTCAATTAATCAATCCTATTGGTCGTTCAGTGTTCCATATTTATTCACCAGAAAGTAGGTACGTCATCTACATACATACCGCACGGCCCCGTCCATGCAGTATTCCACTTGCACATGTCAAAAAAGTAAAAGCAAAGCTCTTTTCTGAGTGTAATAAATATTCTTCTCTTCCTCTTTCTTCATCGATTAATACAACATCCGCTCCTTCTTTTTTGAAAAACGTCCAATTCAGAAGATGGAGTTATCATATCCCATATTTCATCCCTTCCTCTTTCTTTACCGAGTATGGCAATACTTTCTCGCCAAACTCCTTTCTCCTTCACCACCGGTTGAGGGTCAAAAACTTGGAAGACCCAAGATTGCAATTATTGGTGCTGGATTGACGGGTGTTTCTGCTGCTTCTCACTGTGTTGGTCATGGATTTGATGTGCAGATTTTTGAGGCTGGTCCCAGAAGTCAATTGGGTGGTATATGGAGTGTAAGTTTACCATTTCTCCCTTACATATTGGGCACAAAAACCCCCAGAAGCGAAGGAAATTTATGCTGATACGATAATTTAGAGAGTTAACAGTACATCTGGTCTACAAATCCATTCGTTAATGTATCGATTCCATCCCTCCGTTCAATGGAAAGGTGGTTATCCAAATCAACAACAAATTGTATCTCAAATCACCGAACTCTGGAAACGTTATGGTCTAGAGGAGAAAACAAAATTCGATACTAAAGTCGAGAAAGTATACCAAGACGACAAAGGAAGATGGATAATTAATAATACATCAGAAGGACGATTCGAAGGCATTATTGCAGCTGTTGGTACTTGTGGAGAGGCAAAAATTCCACATATACCTGGGATGGATAAATTCAAGGGAGAGATATATCATTCAAGCGATCTGACGGGCAAAGACGCAAAAGGAAAGAAAATTATAGTCATTGGAGGTGGTGCAAGTGCAGTCGAGGCACTAGAATTTGCAACCCATGAAGAAGCGGCTGAGACGACAATTCTGGCCAGAAGTGATAAATGGATCATCCCTCGGAATGCTGTCGTAGACATGCTACTCGCGTTGAATATTTTTGGACAGGAAACTTTCTTGAGCTGGATACCAGAGATGCTGCTTAAGAAGTTCTTTTACAGAGATCTGGAAGATCTTGCTCCAGCGGATAAAGGTATTTTTACAGGCACTCCTATGGTCAATTCCGACGTGATGGATAAAATCCGTGAAGGAAAAGCAGAATGGCTACGGGGCGATATCAAAGGATTCACTGAAGATGGAATCAATTTCAATCTTCGAGCGAAAGGTGTTCCTCCCGGTGGCCCTGGAAAAACAAAGCTCGTGAAGGGCGATATCGTTGTAATGGCAACTGGATTCGAGCGACCGTCTCTTGATTTCCTCCCACCCGACACATTCCAGGATCCTTACACACCACCAAATTGGTATCTTCAAACCTTCCCTCCCACACACCCTTCCGTCTGCTGCAACAACTGCACTTACGTCAATGCTATCGGTGCAGTGGGCAACTGGCATATAGGAATTTACACACGTATCCTCCTTATGTTCCTATCGGATCCCCTTACAAGACCAAGACCCTTCTGGATGGAATGCTGGATTGATATGACCAGAATTTTGAAGAAGTTCAGCCCAACAGGTGCATTTGATTTCTTTACATATCTGGAATTGGTGTGGTGGTTCACTTTTTGCATTGCGATCAATCCATTCAGGTGGAAGTGGGCCATTTTTGTGTTTACTGGGCTTGGAAGGGGATTGCCGAGAAGAGTTGTGGAGGCGGAGGATAAGTTGAGAGGATCGCTAGGATGGAGAAATGGACATTGGGATGTGAATTATGACAAGGGAAGCAGTTTTTGAGAGAAGAGGAGGTGG